TAGAATCATGCGCACCTCCGCACATTTTCACTCTGGTGCAGTTTTCCTTGAAACAAGCTTTTTTCGTTGAAGTCATGAGGAGAGCATGGCAAGAAGTGTCATCGCCAACCCACATACAGTCGTTGAACTTTCTGGCAAACTTCATTTTTTCATTCTCTTCAGAAAGACAGGAGTTTTACCACACCTCGACTATGCTTTATTGAAAACGGCGTGAATTCTTACTCAGCCGAAGCTTCCGCGATTTGTTTAGTGGTGAACTTCTGCAGAAATTCGCAATTTGTTTACTATCAATTAATAAATGAATAAAAAAGGATAAAGCCGTCAGCGTTGATCAATTCCTGAGGAATGCGCCATGAAATCGACTTCATTAAGTATCGTTGGAGGTGATTGAATGCGTACCTGGCCTTTACAACAACTCGCGGTGGCCTACCGAGCCAGTATCCTCCCAGACAATTCTGGGACCAATTTGCCGACCCTGGAGGGATGGAAGGCTTGGTGGGCGATGGGCGTGGGGATCGATCCTATGTGTAGGTTGGACGATGCCTCCAACCACTGCGCCACACACGCCCACTATTATTAACTAGTAGTTTCACTTTTCCGCCACGACGAGGCAATGAAATATAGAATTGCTCTAAATATTTTAAGCGGCAAAGACTTGAATGCTTCATATATTAGCATTGCAAAAGAATAGAAAAATTACAGCACATTAATCTATATCTGAAATCTTCACCTTGTTAGTGAACAGGAAGTGAAATGAAATGTTTCCACATTATAGCTTAGACAAGTTATCGCCATCGGTTACGTGTTTTCTACAAAGCCCATAAACTTAGGTTTCTTTACAAAAGCATTAGGTGAAAACTTTACGGTATTTAGGAAAATAGCTCTACTAGATGGTACTTTTTTATCAGAAATTCTAGGTGTAGTAGACTTCTACTTAGAATTTCCTGTTGTTTTGAAAGAAACCTTGTCACCAAGCGGTAAACCCTTTGCTATTCAAAATTAGACGACAGTCAGTCTATAACGATGTGGAGACGTTATAACGTAAATTTCTCCGTGTTTTAGGAAAGGAAAATTTGTAAAATTGGAATGGGAACCATACGGCTACGGTTGCACTTAGCTTGTCTTTTTACAATAGGTGGAAATCAATTTCACACCTTTTTTGACCGAATGCAATAATGACCACTATGAACATCATGTAATTGCGTTGGTTTCTTTCTCTATTCAAAGCACTAAAAGTTTGCACCGTTTTCCCACTTCTAGCGAGAGCACCGCTTAGAGATGCCCTGCAATACACACGTGAGCAAGGCATCCATCACTTCAAGGTCGACAAATTGGTGCCATACTTGTCCAGGAAGATACTAGTATTAACCTACACATTACTAGGCAAGCACAACTCATTGCGTAGGCCATAAAAAAAGAAAAAAATAAAGCTCTCGGCGTTGATCAATATCTGGTATCAATTAGCCGACCCCGAAGGAATGGAGTGCTTGGTGGGCCAGGGGCGCGGCGATCGATCCCATGTGTGTATTGCAGCGCGCCTACGACTACTGCACCACACGCGCCCTTGTATAGCCCATATATGCATTCAATCACCTGTAACGATGCTAGACAGAGTCGAACTCAGGGACTGATCAACTCAGAAGGCTTTATGCTTCTATTCCCTCTGACTTCAGTTAAACTTTTCAGTGGCCACGAACTGGTGGCGAGAAAACATATGTTTATTTTCAAATACTTTATGTACTACGAAAGACGTCTAATTCTTTTCTAATTCAGGGTTTTCAAAAGTAAACCACGAAAACGATGTATGCTTTTTTTGAAAAACCGCTGAATGTACATAGCTCCAGAATCTTTCCAACAAAGAAATCAGATAAAGTGGTGCTTCATTTATACCTGCAGTTGGAAATACAATATCGACCTCTCACCGTTTACCCATAAACCCCTTAATCATCGAGCAATCCGATAGAACACCATAAAAAATTTGTTTCCGTTCCTTTTGTGCGTCGGAGGTGCTCACTCAGTTTTAATCGCAAGAAGCGTTTGAAGGGACTCATATCACCATCTGTATGAAGTCCTTATCACTAACGCTTTTGTTAAGAATGTAGGCAAAAGTAGCCCTGTAGAGCTGCCATGAAATTTGTTTTCAACTAGCTGACCTTAAGGAGAGCAGAGTCGAATAAGGACTTGGCTAGGTATCCAGATCGAAAAGACAAGTTCTTTTCTTGCTCGACGGATCCTTATCGAAAAAACATCATTGCCATACATTATAATATAGCACACTTTATACCGCTGAACTATGAAAAAGCAGAAGCGAAACTATCTCCAATGAGTTGTTTTTCGTTATATATTCATTTGCTAAATAGGAAATAAAGTAAGAACCGCACTAAGGAATATAGCGCGTATATCGTGAGCATCTCCTTAATAGGCGACGCTTGGATGAAGAGACAGCCCCTACACCGAAGCGAAGAAAGTGGATTCTCGTACGAAGGAGGATAGTTCACAGAAAAAATGCCGATGTGAGTTGATACATTTTGAGAAGTTCTTCAAGCAGCTCAAAACAGAAAGTTCTTTAATGCGTTGCCCGAAGTTATGAACATAAACTATAAAGATATTTCCAACTTTTCATCCCAAAAAAGTAATTTTATGTTTGAGCTGGTCCCATAGAGCTACATATGTGGTATTTTCACTGACGTTGATGTTTTCTTCCGGTGATTTTCTGAACTGGTTTTTTGTGTTGTTTCAGCATGAATTTCTCCAGCCACTCTGTTTTCTCGATAAGCACACACGACGTTGTTAGTAGACTCTCCATTCACAAACGCTAACGTTACGACGGATCCCTTCATTATAATAGTTTATGCAGCATGTGAATGAACTCCCACCCAGCGTGTCCTCATTTCTTACATTTTATCGTGCCTACGAAACAATCTGCCTATATCATCTGTATTTCCATCGATCAATGAGCGATTCAAGCGGCTACCAGTAAAATCTTCACTCTTCAGTGTCATTGTCGGATTCCATTGCCACTTTGTTTCTAACTGCTTCAGGTATCGCGAAAAGCATTATATATCCAGTTCGCAGTTCCTGTGAAGAAATCAGACCACCGAGTGGGTAGTGTTGCTATATTGTTCTTGATATCACGTCAACTCAGCTTGTGATTACCAAAGCTGCCACAAACGCTTCAATCTCAAATGAATCGAAATCACTTTTTATGTCGATTGGAAAGAGCTGAAGTATCATCTTAGACTCTCACTTTGATGAGTTCCACTATTGGCTATACATGGGCCATCTGCCGAACTTCATTCGAAACCCAGCTTCCTCTCATTGCCATTTTTGGCAGGATATTCTGTAAACTTTATGAAGATGATATTGATACAGAGCTTGTAATTGAGCAAGAGCAAACACATGGAGAACCGATGTCTTCAAGACTACGTTTCCTTGCAACAACACACTTTTTTTAGTTTCTTATAACTTCACCCTTCATTCTGAGAGAAAGAATATGAAAATCCAGACAATTGCGCAAATGAGGACTACGGCTGATTTTTTCAAAAATGCCCTTTCGGAGTCTATCGGAAAAATGTACTGAGCAGTTTTTCACCGAATATATAGAATGTAGTACAGCAAATCCAATTGAAAGCGTTAGGACGGTATCTGTTTTCCACTACATGTTAAGCGATCCGGGAAAAACGAGGCACTTTTGTACTCATTTCCTTTCTTCTGCACCCTATCCAAATAACTCTTTCCATTGTTTAACGTTTTGTTTTTTGCCTTCTATAATTTTCATGGCAGGTTACTAAGCGAAATACAACCACAACGTTGCTGAGATATTTGCAAAACTCTGGACCGTAGGTGTCTATGGTGGGGAACGAACGCGCTATTATCCTTTCCGGGGAGTAACGCGTTCACCACCACACCATGCGGGTCCTTTGTTTCGCACGTCTCTCAGCTATTTCTATCGATCTTTTTGCCACAGCAATCACCCCACAGCAATCGATAGAAATAGCTGAGAGACGTGCGAAACAAAGGACCCGCATGGTGTGGTGGTGAACGCGTTACTCCCCGGAAAGGATAATAGCGCGTTCGTTCCCCACCATAGACACCTACGGTCCAGAGTTTTGCAAATATCTCAGCAACGTTGTGGTTGTATTTCGCTTAGTAACCTGCCATGAAAATTATAGAAGGCAAAAAACAAAACGTTAANCATTGTTTAACGTTTTGTTTTTTGCCTTCTATAATTTTCATGGCAGGTTACTAAGCGAAATACAACCACAACGTTGCTGAGATATTTGCAAAACTCTGGACCGTAGGTGTCTATGGTGGGGAACGAACGCGCTATTATCCTTTCCGGGGAGTAACGCGTTCACCACCACACCATGCGGGTCCTTTGTTTCGCACGTCTCTCAGCTATTTCTATCGATCTTTTTGCCACAGCAATCACCCCACAGCAATCGATAGAAATAGCTGAGAGACGTGCGAAACAAAGGACCCGCATGGTGTGGTGGTGAACGCGTTACTCCCCGGAAAGGATAATAGCGCGTTCGTTCCCCACCATAGACACCTGCGGTCCAGAGTTTTGCAAATATCTCAGCAACGTTGTGGTTGTAACTCTTTCCATCCTAGGATCCTCTTTTACTAGTTAACTTAGGTGCTTTGCAAGCTCTGGCACACTTTCTTAGTTTTTTTCTGGACCATCCAGCTCCAGGCCGTTGACTTAATTGGAGAGTTTGTGAACAAAGAGTCACCTAGGGAATTTAGAATTCTCAAATTTCTTAAAGTTTTCGTGAAGGGATTTAACGAACGAATTGTATTTTTCTTCGCTTCTGTCGAAAACCATGTTTCTCTCCTTCGATGGTAAGGCTTCCGGACACATCGACATACTGAGTAAAATCCTAAGCGCACTCGCATGCATAATTATGAATACGGTTGTGTCTCTAAATAAGGTTATAGGTTAGTAGTGCGCAACATTAACAGAGGGCCAATTTCCTGAACAGAGTTGGTTTTAGTGCATGAATATGGTAGCAATTTTGAGCACGTTTAACCTCTTGCACACTAGTTCTAAAGGCGAGCTAGCAACTAATCCGCTCGGATCGATTAGACGAGCATATGTGAATGAAATTAATAAGCATTTTAAAATGAAACTGGCTGCTTTTTGATACTACAATAGTACTCTCATTTAGGCGCAGAGAAGGGCAATCTTTGGTAAGCCTACATACGAGGCGGAGGTCGACGAGCCGGTTATGATGAAGTCCTCAAATATGAGAAGACAATGCGGTATATCTTGTTTACTCTCTATCCAAAATGGGACGATTGTAGGAATGCGGAAAAGCTACTCCTCCTTTGCAATCATTTGAAGAAATTCAACTCGTTCATTTACAACCCGAAAATTGTTTCCATAGAATTTATTTATAAGCAATGTGCCCGGCATGAGTGATTTAAGAAAAGAGCGAGAAAAATGACCTAGTATCATGAAATAAACAGATGAGCGAAGTAAAAAGTGGTGTTTTCAGTTTGCTCAACAAAACACTCCTGTGACCGTGGACCACCGGGTCCTTCTGGTAAAAAAGGAGAAGATGGACTGCCAGGAGAAGCTGGAAAAGAAGGCCTTAAAGGTTGGCCAGCTTTCACCTTAACGTCCAAAGCACGAAACATAGCGGATCTAGCGTTTGACATTGACTAATCTCTGAGACATGCGCAATATGTCAGAATTCACTAACGATCAAAGTGCCTAAATGCATATGATGTAACACTTCGGTGCTTCTATACTCACAGACACATTTTATATCACTTTTCTTCCTACACCGAAGAAAGGAAGAGCGTATTTTCCTTAGAGCAGGTATCGAACCAAATGCTACACGGGAATTGCAAGGCTCCTCTGACCAATGCGCCACAAACGTCGTTCTAACGTTCATTAGCAATGAACGTTAGAATGTCCAGCTCCATGAAAAACTGTCAAAAAAATTAGTCTCCGCATGTATTCTAAAACTTGTTAGAGTTAACAGCAGATCTAAATTTGTAGTTTTTGGCACAATGTGTGATAAAAAGCGTTTTCTTTGAACATTAACGAGTTTTTTATCTAAAGATTTTCAAATCACTGCCTTTTCACAGGCATGGATTCAGTTGACATTAGCGCTCAAAGAATCTTTATGGGTTGTTCTATGTGCCCACCTGGACCAAAAGGAGTGCAAGGCCCGGATGGACAATTAGGTAAATTATTCACGTCTCTTAGTCTGAACTAAACCCAGTGCCACATCGAATGTAAAATTGTTCAATGTGTAGGCACACCTGGTTCAAAAGGTCCACGTGGAATACAAGGCTCTCCGGGTCGAAATGGTACGACAGGGTTACCTGGAGACATCGGTTTGCCTGGAAAGCCGGTAAGTGCACACAATCTCCAGTAAATCACAAATGCTTTTAAGATGGTATAAAAAGCAAGTAGAAATGATATCATCAAACTTAGAGAGATATACTGACTATCTCCTGAAGCTTTAGGGAAGGAATGGTAGGCCTGGTCCAGTTGGTCATTGTGGACTAAATGGAACTTTATCATATTCAATGCCAGGTCTAAAAGGAAAGAGAGGACAGCAGGGACGCACTGGAGAACGTGGTGAAGATGGACTAGACAATAATGAAGTTAGCGACGAATTTACGTAATGCATATTAAGCAATGAGTTACATACGGGTTTATTCATATCCATGGTGATTCTACTAATGCTCATGCAAAAGTCCTTTATTTATTATGACTCCATGCATTTCTTGACGGTTGATAAACATATAGTATGTTATCCAAATCAGTGCTTTCAAAAAATTCGTTTAGATAGGTGAGATCGGACCAGATGGCCCACGGGGAGAACCAGGTTACTTAGGGCCAACTGGACAAGAAGGAGAGCGTGGGCCCATAGGTCCATCAGGATTAAAGGGCGCTTCAGTGAGTTTCCTTTCAAATTTTAGTCGTCTTTCTCTTTCCATATTTCTAAGAACTCCTTCTAGCTTCCGCATTGCTTTACGTCTACTTAGTTAGAATACTTGAATCTTTTTACTTGCGAAAAGTACAGATTTCATTGAATAATCTAAGAGTTCTCTGTATAACTTTTATAAAACGTGTAGGACGACGTTTTTGCAGAATTGTGCATATCTTTGCTTTTTTGCAAAAGCGATTAGTAACAGTAAAACCTGTATTATGATGCTTTCGATTGTGTGTGTGAGGCAAGAATTCTTTTCAGCAGTGCCAATGCAAACTCCTCCTTGGTAGAAATGACTCCCACTACACCGAACCCTCACACAAACGCCAGTCACTGCAGGAGCTGAGTAGCAAACATCAAAGCAGTCACCCCGACGGAGTATTACACGGACTAGCTCACATAAGCGTCGATATACGAGAACCTATCGTACTTAGTGAAAGAGAAGAGATCACATCTCAGGCGTCGTCTGAAGAAAATTCCGTATTTCGTGGAACAAAGGCTGGAAACATTTTTAATCAGAGGAGAAGATATATTGATGAAATGTCGGGACAGGTTTCTGAGCAGTCAACACCCACGATATCGCCGGATAAAGTCAGAAAGAAAGAAGAAAGTGTGGAAGAGAAAGAGATTAAGAAAGAAGGAAAAGAGGAGAAAGAAGAATACTATAGTGATTCTGAAGAAGAAACAGAATCAGATAATGACCCTTCTGTGAATACGACTCCAGCTACACAGAACATTAGAGAAACTGTATTGCTAACAACTGAATCAAGTAGTTTGTCGACAACACAGGCGACCATAACGGACAAAACTACAATAGCAGCTGCGAAAAGCACTTCTTCAGTAACGATGACAGAAAAAACAGAGACAACATTGAAGGAAACATCATCACGTTCTGAATCACATACTGCTGAAAAAGACGACTTTTATGAAACTGTTGTGCTTATACCCAGAAAGTCAAGCGAAATAATCAGGAAGCAAAAACTCCTTAGTTTTCTGAACAACAGTGGTCGATTGTGGACAAATCCAACACCACCACCAAGTCCTCCACGAGTACGTCTTTACAGTGGTGAAGCCAAAGAAGCTGAAAAATCTGTCAGCAACAGAGAGATTAGCATAGCAAAAGTGGAGGATCTTCGAACTAATGGAAAACCTTGGGCAGTCCAAGGCAAACCTGAGATTTTGAGGTAGGTGTGTGTTTTCCAATCATAAAACTATTCTTTTAACCTTTTATTTACTGCCTAATCTTTTTCAAAGGTAGAACATGTTGGGAGTGCAAAAACAGCCATGCTGAGATGTAAATAATCTCAGAACATGAATGCGTCGTTTTCTTGTTCTAAAATCGCGAGGTTTTTAAACAGCATACATTTACTTCCATAGAGAAACACAATACAATACAACGCTAGCTGACGTTTCGGCAGTATCGCCTTCTTCAGAGCTTGGAAGGGTATACTGATATACAATCTACTAGACCAAACGCTTCAATCACACTTACAAAAAGACGAAAAACTCTCCGGTAATTGCATGATCAACAACTTCTCGAAAAAACCCACCACATGATGTGGGATGGTGCAGTCATCAACCATATGCGACTATAATCAGCTGTTCTAAACTTCCTCATTGGAAGTCACGAAAAAGCGGCGGGTTCTTTCGAGAAGTTGTTGACCATGTAATTACCATAGAGTTCTTCGTCTTTTTGTAAGTGTCACTGAAACGTTTGGTCTAGTAGATTGTATATCAGCATGCCCTTCCAAGCTCTGAAGAAGGCGATACTGCTGAAACGTCAGCTAGCGTTGTATTGTATTGTGTTTCTCTATGGAAGTAAATGTATGCTGTTTAAAAACCTCGCGATTTCAGAACAAGAAAACGACGCATTCATATTCCAGTGCCGAGGTTAAGAGAAAGTCGATCCTGGGAACTAAAACTCAGAACCTTAGCTGAGTTTCGAAGCAGCGATGACCCCTATTGGAGCTTCATATGCTCCCCAACACACCAAACGAGATCCTTGCTTTCCCTCTCTCTCAGCCGTGTTCGTACTCTGTCGGTACTATTATCCATCACTCGTCAACGAAAACAGTAAATAGCGTAGCGTGGATAGGTTAAAAACGTGGCAGACAAGGAGAGGAAACAAAGGCCTCGGTTGGTGTGATGGATAACGCGTGAGCCCCAGTAAGAGTGAGCACGGATTCAATGCCAGATGAGGTCCTGAGTCTTGCTTATATCTCAGCATTCCTGTTTTTATAAAGGTTATGTCCAAATCAATGTTGTGCTACATCTTAATCTCCTGCTGGTTTACAGAAAAGGTTCAGCACAGTTCGAAAGCGTAAATACGTCTACAGAAACTATTGAAACTGCCTCCTCAAAAAAAAAATCAAGTACAGCAACAACTCAGTACGTTAATCAACTTTTGTCAATGTAAATCCGATTAAGTGGACAAGAGATGAGGCGTCATCCTAGTTCATAGACGAGCTCTATCAAAAACTAAATTTTTACGTATGAACAATCGTGCTTGTTCGATCAAATATTAAGTATTGGTTTGAAAACCTCCGTATATTACAGATCGAGCAAATCAAGTTATCCGACAAACGCATTCACCACCATGGAAGTACATTCCGCCGCTCCCGAGCAAACCCACCAGCGATTACTATTCGAAAGAAGGAAGAATGCTTATAGAGATCATAACGGAAAAACCAGACGGAAGTTGATTTATGACATGAGACTGGAGGAGATTCCACAGAACGCACTTGGAAGCGAGCCACGAGGAGCACACAAGCCAAGATTTGCACACTCTATTGTACCTAACGTAAATGGCAAATTTAATAAGGTCAAAATGGTGCCACGCAGATCGTTCGGTAAACAATTTGAACGGGAAAGAAGCAACTGGCATCAACCACGTTTAGCAAGCAGCTACCAGAAGTTTCAGATCAATACGTTGCCACTATCTATGAATGAACCAGTGAGAATCGACAAGCTGCATGAGAGGGTTTACGTCATTGAGAATGAAATGAAAAGTCAGGCTGGAAGAAAGTTAGAGGCAAGCGTTAAAAACAAAGAAGCTATTGAGGAGGAGAAAAGTGGTTTTCAAAAGCAGCGCGTGGACAGCCCAGGAGAACTCCTGGGAAGAAACGAAAAAAGTGACTCTATGAGGAATAGCGTGATAAATGATCAAGTCAATGTACAACAGAAAAACTATGTTCGTACATTTGATAGGAATCCCTACTTCCCAAGTCGAATAGACACGAAGTACGTAGACAAGGTCCTAGAAGACAATTCAGAGGTAAGATTTCAGAATGCTAACACGAATGTTGCAAGTTAGGTCGTCCTAGTGCACTATGTAAGTTTTAAATTAGCAAATAAATAACATTCCCAATTTTAATTAAGGTGCCGCCTAATCACCATGAGGTCAGGAAACTCAAAGCCGTGAAATCAACGAAAACGAAAAAGGGTGGTCTTCGGAGAAAGGTATTAACAAATAAAATAGTCTGTATAAGTATCTTTTCGAGAGCCAAACATTGTTCAAACTTTTCCAGTGACCCTAACTGATCAGTCCTTGTTGTAGTCATGAATATATAGACGAGACAGTGGGAACGATATATCTATTTCCAAATGAAAGATAACCATTCAAAAGTTTTAACTAAACATTAGTTCTCAAATGTTTATTGAATATACAACCATAAAGTTACCATAAAAGTAATATTTTAAAGGAAGCAGGAACAAAACCACTGGCTTTTCAAACTTTGGAAGTATTTTGGATCAGCACTGAAATTTCATACCCACAAATTAATTTCCTTATCCCTCAGGTTCAGGTAGGCACGCCTTCCATATAAAAACTAAAAGCGACGATCGATAAGTAATGAAGTGCATAATTCGTGAAAGACGTGGTAGTAAGCCCCAGCGTTAAAGTTGAGCTATGAAGGTCGGGAAAGTTCCCACCGTTAAAATTACAAGTCGACATCACACATTCGAGCTCTGGAGAAAGCGAAATCAGCCGAAACATAAGCTAAATCGGCCGAAACATTAATCACAGGGTAGAAAAAAAAAGGAAATTTCAACATTACTAAGAAAATGTGTTCAAAGCTGTAGCACCAAACACAGACGCAGTTTGGCCTACGGTAACACGTCGGCTTTTCTTTTCGCCGTTTTAGCAGGATCCATTCATTCTGCAAGAAAGCTCTTTAGAAAATAAACGACTTTTCAACCAAAATCAGCACCGTTCGAGTTTGAAAGGGTGAGAAGCGAACTACTTCAGCGTTAATCCGCTCTTTAGGCTTCATTTATTCTCAAGTGATTCGCACCAAGCTTCCCTTTCTGAGGGCAGCGGGATTCGTATTAGGCTTGTCCGGGAAACTCTCCTCGGTTTCACAGAGACTTTTGACTGCATGTAGTATCGATCCAGGAACGCCCTAGTACGACTGTCCGAAGATTCCAGTAAGAATTGACTCTAGAAGAATTCAACGATGCTCATATAGAGGACCTAAGATCCTGAAGCAGTAGCCGAATCCACATGCAAGTCTGGGAACCTTTGAAGGTGATGGGTGCGATCCAGTGAAGTGAATGGTGGGATCCAATTCATAAATACTGTCGGATCATACGAAGCCAAGCAGTAAATAAAATATATCATTTGTACGCCTCGAGCCGTTTTCTATAGCTCCGCGTCAATTAACGTCGATTGCGAGGAGCTGTCCCTTACTGTCATCTTTTAGGCTCTCGCGTCCACCGCAGAAATGTTAAAAGCAACGAACTGCAGAACGATCGTTGAAAGTTCCTTCGGCAAATGTGGCTTTCATAGTGCGAGCGATTTCAGGACTTTGTCTTTAAGTTTCGATCGATACAAAGGATATCCAAATATCTAGGTGCTCATGTTGAACCCAAAATGGAACGAAGACTTTGTTACAGGGTTTAACATTGAAATGCATTATCAAACCTTCGGTTCAAATTAGTCTGTGCAAATTATTCTTAAAGTAGGAAGCAAAATGATTGAGTCTTTCATATAGCAAATTCGGAAATTCCATAGCGAAATATCTGATATAATTATGTCATTGTAAAAGATGAGGAATCCAGTAACTAGGGAGTCGAGTAAATAGAACCATACGTAAACCCTACTTTCTTCCCTTTTCCTTTACGAGCATGATTGCCACCAATTTGCTACCGAGCAAAAATGAATGGTCAAAAAACTTTTTTCTTTTTTTAATGCTGTGGTTGTGCTCCATCATGTCTTCCATTTTTTCCGTCATGATATGGTGTTCACAGGTTCCGGACCGTAATGTAAAGATAATCTTCCATGAGGTTCGGCCAATCTGAAAAGTAGTTCGACATCTGCAGTTGAAAGCCAAGGCGAGAGGTAACCGATACTATGACAGAACATCGCAAGCTGCTTGTAATTGTCTCGCTACGAACAGTAAATTAGTGCTCATTTTAAAAGTGTGATATTGCTTGGTGGAACAAGCTCGAAGTACGCAGAGCAGTTCTGTTAGCGTGGTCAGAAACAATGGAGTTCACTTGTACCCGCTCGTGTTACCCGGTGGTTATCGGCGGTAAAGTTTAGAGGTCGTCCTCGCAACGGTTTACTGCCTCATCGTGGCTGGGAGGTGTTCCTGGGTGTCGGGTTGAGATGCGCAGCGGAGGATTCATACCCCAGCAGGTGGGAAGGAGTCCATCGTTTCCACCAGGAAGCCCAGCTAAGAATAAACAAATACCAGGATCAACCACTGTTTTCGTATGAGTTTAGTCGGATAGTGGGAAATCTCCCTCTGATCTAAAGGGTAAGCGACTGCCTGTGGTGGTGACGACCTGGACAGACTTTGGCCAGGCTGACCTCGTGTTGTGTTGGGGCCCACATAACTAGTGAGAGCGGGCCGTCCAAGTATCCAAGTAAGTAACTAAGAATGCGTCGTTTTCTTGTTCAGTAATCGCGAGGTTTTTAAACAACATACATTTACTTCCATAGAAGAACACAATACAATAGGACACTTTAGAATTTTTAGAGTTCAGAAAGCTTAGAATAACTGATTATAGCCGCCTATGGTTGATGAATATAATCAGCTGTTCTAAACTTCCTTAAAAGTCATGTAAAAGCGGCTCTGAAGAAGGCGATACTGCCGAAACGTCAGCTAGCGTTCTATTGTATTGTGTTTTTCTATGGAAGTAAATGTATGCTGTTTAAAAACCTTGCGATTGCTGAACAAGAAAACGATGCATTCATATTCCAATGCCGTGGTTAATAGAAAGTCGATCTCGGGAACTAAGTAAGTATGGTTGAAAAGTTACAGGAGACGCTTATGAGCACAACGTCCATCGTCCTAACGAGCTTATGATAAGTTAAGATCTTCCTATCTGACTGGATCTCACAACCTGTTTAGTTTTGGCAAGCCGTGGTACGTGCCCATGTGCTCAAATCACTTCTAATCCAAGGAATAAAGTTGGTACTTTTCTGGATCTACGATGGCCATGCTATCACAGTAGCAGTTGCTTTTCCTTTCGTTCTTATTTCTAGTGAGAAACGCAAGCCACTTTATATAGTATTTCCGATGTATAAAAGGTGTTCTCATTCCGAAGGTGGTATACCACCTTATACCTGCCATGAAAAAATGTAATAGGCAATAAATAAAAAGTTAACATTGTGATTTCGACTACAGTCTCAGCTTCACTTGGTTCGTTGCCGATTTGGGCTCCTCAGATCGATCACGCTGACGGGTTATTGCTGTGGCAAAAAGATCGATAGAAATAGCTGAGAGACAGGCGAAACAAAGGACCCGCATGGTGTGGTAGTGAACGCGTTACTCCCCGGAAAAGGTAATAGCACGTTCGTTCCCCACCGCAGATACCTGCGGTCCGGAGTTTTGCAAATATCTCAGCATCACTGTGGTTGTTTCATAATTAATACCCTGTCGTGAAAACTTGTAAAAAGCAGTAAATAAAAAGTCAACATTGTGAATTCCAACCAACGACTATCTCAGGAGTCCTGAACGAATTCACTGGACCAGCATTCTACGACATTCTAGATGAAATGGAAATCCTTAAGCAGTAGCTGAGGACACACTTAAAAAATTGGAAGATCTTCTTGGATAATGGAAGCGAGGAATGTAGCCGAATGTGAGAATTGCTGGGTTTCGAACAGTAGACGTGAAGATGGGTCGTATAAAAACAACAAAAAGGAATTATATGATCAGGAATTGCATATTGTGAGCATGCTGCACTTCCTTCATTCTGCACGTTGGCTTGCTCGGCCATCCACGGTATTCAAATTAGCATATATATTCAGATGCTATTTGAGGGTTTTGTTTCCTCTATAAATGCAGTTAAATATTGGTCAAGTTCGTCTTTCCCTAAATCGCTACATTTCGCCCTGTATCCATGAAGTTCTTCCAATTTGGGCGCGAGTTCGGCCATTCTTCGCAGATTTTTGGTATTCTTTAAAAATTCCGGCTGGGCTAGCCGTCCTAGAGCGTTCTCAGATCTTTACCACTATTAGTCGTTGACCATTTTATATCAGAGAGAGATTGTTCCAAACAAATCTGCTACCAGTTCGCTATCCACTGAGGGACTGGAAGCTTGGTAGGTATATCACTAATCAATGCGCTTCCTGATCACTATAAAGACGCTTTTAAAAAACCAAAAACGAAAAAACGATGAATTTTTTCAATGTTTTAGAATTGTTTCATCGAATATCTTTTTCAATCTACAGTTTAGTAGCTCGTTGAATTGACCCTTTAAGGTGAAGGGTGAAGTTTGAGGTGAGAATGAGTCACAGACCTTCAGGAGTCTTAGTTCCGTTCTTTATTAGTAGTGGAGAAATCTACCGGGTGCGCTTCTTAGATGCACATGCAACTTACTTGTTATATGTGACCACGAATCGACACGTATCTTTGCCGATCAATGGAACAAATCTTTCCAACAAATCTTTAAATGCAGGCTGTATCACCTGTTTCACCTGTAGTCCCATTGATCGTCAGTGACTCGAGCAGACGCCAGTAAATCTTCCATTTTCCCTGTCGCGTGCAAGAGTAGCCCAGTGGGTTCTGCTCGCTCTAGTGACTCGTCGAGCATATCTTTTTTCTAGGCTCTTCGTGAAGAGCTCTCACCATCGGGTCGGTGGTCTTCCTGAAGTATGTTTGACATCCCGAGGAATCCTGTCACTAACGGATCTTGTCCATCGGTTGTCATTCATACGCTTTACGTGTCCGGCTCACCCTATCTTCGCCTGTTTGGCGTACAGAACGGCATCTTTGATTTTTGATTTGATTTTTAATCGTTGACGCAGGTCGGAGCTTCGGATCCCATCCCCTACTCATGTGAAACGGGATACTCCTAGCATCG